AAATCATATAACCATTAAGGCCCAAACTACGGCCCATCTATGGCCTAATTTTCCAAATTGGGCCCAACTCCCATACGGGCCTTACCTCAAAACCCATTAATTATTTTAGTCCATTTGCTTGATCTTGGATGGCCCCTTTAATAACCCAATCATCAAGGCCCAATAGTAATTAGGGTTTCACATAAAATGATGATTAGGGTTAAGTTTCCAACTTAACCCATTAAGGACTTAATCCACTAAGTACTTAATCCATTAAGTCCAATATTGCTTAGATTAATTTTTGCCAATGATTATTATTTAATATCTCAAGTTATTAAATAATTACCGTGTGTCCCAGTTAATTCCCTAAATTAGGGTTTCATTGCATTAGGGTCTTCTAAACCCTAATTAGGGTTTCCAACCCATCTTAGCCCAACTAGCTATGTCTTTTGATCAATTAAGGTTTATTAGGCCCATTAGGGTTTCACTGGGCCCATTAGGGTTTCATTAAGCCCATGCAAAATTATACAAAGAACAGCCTTCATATTTTCTAATAAACAGAACACCATCCAGATCTTTGAACAACATCTCTCCTTATGCAAAATTATACAAAGAACAACCTTCATATTTTCATCTTAGAACTTTTGGCTATTTGGCTTTTGCATCTACCTTACCTTCTAAACGACAAAAGTTTGATCCTAGAGCAAGAGCTTGTGTGTTTGTTGGGTATCCACAAGGAATGAATGCTTACAGATTAATTGACATAGAAACAAAACAAATTTTTGTTTCTAGAGATGTCATTTTTCATGAAGAAATTTTCCCTTTCAAGAATTCACAATCCAATCCTCATATTAATCTATTTATTTCTCATACTCTACCTGAACCAATTGTGGTTGAATCTGTTACTGAACCAATTCACATTGAACCTTATCAAATAATCCTTCAACAAACAAATCCTCAAGATGATTATGATCAACATGAAGTTGTTCTTCAAGAAAATTTCACACAAAGACCTCAAAGGCAACGAACTAAACCCACATACCTTAGAGATTACCATTGCAATCTGGTAAATTTTGTCCCAAATCAGAAATTACCAAAATACCCTTTATCCGATGTGTTGTCTTATTCACAGCTTTCACCTTCCTATGAAGCATATGTTTATGCAATATCAACTCAAATTGAGCCAACATCTTTCAAAGAATCCATTGAATCCCCAGAATGGAAATTAGCAATGGATGAGGAATTACAAGCTTTAGAACTCAACAATACATTGACTGTTGTACCTCTACCAGCTGACAGAAAGCCTTTGGGTTGTAAGTGGGTTTTCAAAATCAAAAGGAAAGCAGATGGTTATATAGAGAGATATAAGGCACGATTGATAGCAAAAGGTTATAATCAGCAAGAAGGAGTCGATTTTTTGGATACATATTTCCCTGTAGCAAAACTTGTTACATTTAAACTTTTATTAGCAATTGCAGCTCAAAAATCGTGGCCTTTAATACAATTGGATGTCAATAATGCGTTTTTAAATGGAGAATTAGAAGAAGAAGTTTACATGCAAATACCCCAATGTTATTTTCACTCTTTTACAGGAAATTCTACAGTCAAATATGCATGTAAATTGGAAAATTCATTATATGGTTTACGTCAAGCTTCAAGGCAGTGGTATGCAAAATTCTCCATTTTTATAAAATCCTTGGGTTTTAAGCAGTCTCAATCTGATTTTTCCTTATTTACAAAAGGAAACAATGACAATTGTGTGGCTTTATTAGTTTATGTGGACGATATTGTGATTACTGGTTCATCTTTAGATGCTATCAATAAACTTAAAGAAAGTTTAAGTACTCAATTTTGTCTTAAAGACTTGGGAACACTCAAACACTTTTTGGGCTTAGAAATTGCAAGATCTCCTGAATGTATTGTTGTGTCTCAAAGACAATATGTTCTAGATCTTCTTCAAGATGTTGGAATGTTAGCATCCAAACCCGTATCTCATCCAATGGATCCCAGACACAAGACGTCTTCTTTTGATGGAGAATTATTATCGGATCCTTCTCAATATAGTAGACTCATTGGACGTCTTCTATATTTAACCATTACCCGCCCAAATATTGTTTATGTTGTGCATCGGTTAAGTCAATTCATTTCTGCACCAAAAGTTCCACATTGGCAAGCTGCTCAACAAATGTTACAATTTTTAAAAGGAAATCCTGGTCAAGGATTATTTATTTCATCAAAATTGTCTTTACAACTTAAAGCCTTTAGTGATTCAGACTGGGTTGGATGCATTGATACTCGAAGATCAGTTATAGGATTTTGTGTTATCCTTGGAGATTCCTTAATCTCTTGGAATTCAAAAAAACAAACTACAGTTTCCAGAAGTTCAACCGAAGCAGAATACAGAGCAATTGGATCAGTTACTAGTGAAATAATTTGGTTAAGACAATTGCTTAAGGATTTTGGAGTACAATCTGATCAACAAACTTTGGTCTTCTGTGATAACAATTTTGCAATGCAATTGGCTGTTAATCCTATATTTCATGAAAGGACTAAACATATAGAAATAGATTGTCACTTCATCAGGGACAAGATCATTGACAGAACCATTAAACTCATGCCCATTCATACAACACATCAGTTAGCAGATTTATTTACCAAGCCTCTACCATACTAAAAAAATGACACCTTTATTATCCAAGATGTCGCTTAAAAACAGTTTTAAGCCTCCATCTTGAGGGGGGATCTTGGGATATAAGTCAGTTAGTTGTTGAGATAAAACTATGGCGTTTTCATGTTTAGATAGTTAGTTAAGTTGGTTAAGGTGCATGTTAGTAGTCATGGTGCATCTTAACTGTTGTATATATTCTCTGATGTATTTTCTATTCAGAAGTTATGAGAATAATTGTTTCTTCTTCATTTCTTTGATGTTCAAATTACAAAAGGCCATGCAAGTTTAAAACCAAATGTAAAAAAAGAATACATGCAACTTTTTTGCGTAATACCAAAACTGAGGTCACCAATTTTATTAATGTACCATTTTCAAGAAAAAGTATGTAACACCAACACATGCTTATTATTTTAATTTTCAATAAAAACAGTAAATGTATGATAATCATTTTAAATTCTAACACTCTTAATCAATTAAACATATACATAAGATGATAGTTTTTGTTATTTTGGTTTAGTTCCTTTTTTTGTTTCTATTGAACATTCAAAAACCTTTTTTTTCAGAAAAACAAAACACAAACCATAGGTTTTTCAAAACGGTTGGGGTATTGATTTCTTATATATAAATACTTGAAGAAAAAAAAATGAACCATATCACCAAAAATTATGTCATTTTATGTCTATGCGTGTTTAATTGATTGTGTTAAAAACTAAAATTACTATTATATATTTATGATTTCTTTTAAAAATAAAATGATAAGGATGTGATGGCTTTTACCTTGTATTATGTTTTAGAAAGTTGGGTGTCTGTTAAATTTTTGCAACATTGTTGATGAAGGAGCCCATGAAAATAAATTAATGATAAAAAACCGAAAAAGCAATAACGAGAAACCAATGCTGAAAAAATTGATGGTTGGTACTTTTTTCAAACTAAAACGGAACCATTCCCACCTCCATTGGTGAATAAACTCTGTTCCATGGCTAGAAATCACGTTGTATTCTTAAAAATATATTTTTATTCAAAAATGATGCTTTTAAAAAGTTTTTTTAAATATGAATGATTTAGGGGAAACTTTTATAAATATGAATATTTTTTCAGATAGAAAAAACAAAGTTGTGGTTTTAGATAAAGAGTTGAAAACGTAGTTGTTTATCTGTTCCCTATTAAAAATTGTTTTGTATTTTGATGACATCGATATAATGGGGTAGATTTTTCAAAGTACAAGCCTATAACGGAACGAAAGGAGAATGTTATTATAAAATTAAGTGAAGTATGTTGTTATTTCTTGCATTCAGCCATATATGACATGTTAAGTGAAAGTCACCCAAAAAGTTTCCATGAGGTTCCTTTCTCTTCATATACAAAAGCACAAGAACATACAAGATGCCTGCTCATTGTTGCGTCCCAATTCACTTTGTTTCTTTCCAAATAAGTGACTCAAGAACACAACATTGAACCATGAGAAAAAGATGAAAATGTTATCCTTCAAGGCTGGAATTAAAAATAGATAATGCTTAATTATTTGTATGTCTATGTTCTATGTTGTGAATGGAACTCGGGAGTCCTTTTATAATACAATGCTTAAACTATTGTTTTATGAATTCTTTTGCTGAATGTAATTTGAAATGTTGTGAGATCAGACACTAGTAACAACACTAGTGACAGGCATTGGAAGGTTGCCTCATCTAAATATTATTAGTCTCATGGGATACTGCAATGATAAAAAGAAAAATTGCTTACTTGTTTACGACTACACCCACATTCTTAAGCTAAATTTTAGTCACTTCTTATTCGGAGGTAATATACTTGAATCTTTCTGAATTACTATTGTTGAATTATTCTTACTCAAAGTTGAATTGTTGCCATGACGTAGATGATGTAACATGAGTAATTTTTCAAATGCACCAGATGCTACCAAACCACTTTCATGGATAACACGTCTTAGGATAATGATAGGAGTAGCTCGTGGACTCGCTTATCTACACTCGTCAAAGGAGCAAGTTATACACGGTGGTATTAAAACCTTTAATATATTGCTGGATAAGGTAGTACCGGTTAATTACATAATTTTTTTGGTGGCGATAATTTCATTTTATGCCATAAAAGTTAAGCATTTATTCTTATTCCAGAATTTTAATGCAAAGCTGGGGCATTTTGGTTTGGCTAAAGGTCGGCCTAAATTCCATGAATCAGATACGAGTACACGTGACATGGATACCTTACGTTATTTCGACCAAGAGGATCGACTTAATGGTATATCCTACATATTTATAAATTCTGGATGAAGTTCGTATTTTCAAAAGGACGATGGTTTTTTTTCCTACAAATATAATCAAGTGTAGTGGTTCAAAAAAATAATTTATGATTAATATAAATATTGAACTTCACTATTACAGGTCACTTTACAATTACGGGTGACATTTATAGTTTCGGAGTGGTGTTGTTGGAAACCCTGACAGGCCAGCGGGCATGGGAACCACAGTCGCTCTTTTCTACATTCACTTTAGTAGAATGGGCAAGTCCATTTCTAGCAGACAAACAGAAGCTAAAAGATATAATAGATCCACATCTTAAAAATAATTATCCTCTAGATGGTGCTTTCCATTGTCTTGCACTAGCAACGAGATGTGTGGCAAAGGATCATAAGGCTAGGCCTTCAAGTAAACAAGTTTTGTGGAGATTACAACAAATATATTCTGTTAACAAATAATGCATAAAAGATATGATAATGTACTTAGATTTAGGGGACTAAAAGAACTTATGTTTTAATCTATAGATTTTAATAATATCCGATCAGATCCGCTCATTGTTCTTTCCTCTTTATAATAAACGTTGTTCTTTCAATTTTGATATATACATGCCTCCGGCCTCTGCACTGGTTAGGGTCTTCTACTCTTTTATCTCGCATAGGTTGTAGAAACTCAATTTCTCAAAATGTCGAAATCGATTAAGTTTATAAAGCATCAGTTTATTGTTGCTTTTTCTACTGTTCTTCTACAGGCTGTGGTTTTATGTTATGATGGTGTTTGACTGATTACAAAATCTTTACAAGGGAAAAAGGATGTGAGCTTGGAAGCTCTGTTCTTGCCTGATTTCCATTATTATTTATAAGAGTATGGTGGATTACCTCTTTTATAATCAGTTTATTGACCCCATATGAAAAGTCACTGGAGGATTCGTTGAAATCAGCTAGACTGGTGGTCATGTGTTTTTTGAATAAATATCACTTTTAACGTCAAATATAAGAAAAAAAAAAGTGATCAAATGGGTACATGAAGTTAGTTGGTTTAAAATAGAAAGACTATCTATAGGTCATAATGTTAGTCATATATATTTATTAATAATAGTGATAATAAAAATATAGTATATAAAATGATACATCACCAATACATGTTGACCATTTCTTTGGTTGGCTATGTAGCTTCAAATATTGGACTAACGTTGAGCTCATCACCGCTATTAGAAAATTTGGTTTTAGCTACTAAATATTATATGAAAAATATTCATCTAGTTTCCTACAAACATGCGACAAAAGTGTAACGCAAAAAAAATTCCAATAAATTACCTACGGAAGTAGATACCCTAAAGATTCTGTTGGAAAAGTGTCGCTATTTTCCTACAAAACACCAACGAAATATTAATTAATATTTAAAATTAGTATTCTGTTGGAAATTCGTAGGAAAAATAATAGCGGGAATTGAAAACATTTTCCCACCTTTTGTCTTTGCTTTTCCCTCGTAATATTTGAAGTTAATTCTTTTTTACATTTTAATATACATTATGAAGTATGTTGCTATTATTAAGTATTTTACTATTATGAATGAAAATAGTCTCTAAATAAATAATTTGTTGTTATTATTTTGTTAAAATAAAGTGTGTTGCTATTATAGATGAAAAATAAGTACAAGACCTATATTGGTAGAAAAGTAAAATATGTTGCTATTATGGAATATGTTTTTTGTATGTGAATGTTGATATATATTGTTTGTTTGCTAATTATATGTTTGTTTTTAGGTTAAGGAGCTACAAACCCAACTTAAAAATGAAGAGAGGGAAATAGTTTGGGAAAATGACTGCCCTACAAACTTTCTAGGGTTGACCCTTTTGCTCTCTAAACGTTTTTTGTGGCCTTATGAGGGAACGAGCTTGTGGATAACCTGTCTTTTTACCCTTTTTACTTGGTGTAGCCAGTTTGAGTCTCTCACTCAGTCAAAGTCAACATATCTGCCTCTTTTCTTGTTTAAGAGCACCATGGCAGAAATGGGATGTTCATTATGATTACTTTGTGCTATCTGTTTCAAACTCATCGTCATCTTCATCTTTATCATCGTCTTCATCAACATCTTCGACTGTAACTTCATCTTCATGATTATGATTGGTTTTTTCCTGTTCCCATTCGGTCTCTTCTTCGAGTTCTAAAATCCCTTACTCTTCCCTAACTTGTTGTAATCCACTGATATCATCATCAAACATGCTTTGATGATAGTTATTCGTCATTTGGCCGAAAAAATCCCATTGCGACGATCGTTCTGGCGAAGGAGGCGGAAAATTAGGTCTACTGTAATGGAAAATAGACGACGATGATGGCGATTGTGATTCTGTTTGTGATTGCATCCTAAAGAAACTATCAACGGCATAATGAGATGCCGAAAAGTGGGTATACGACTCGACCTAACATGATAAATATTGAGTCTTGGACACTTAAAAAGGTCCAGAAGATTGCCAACACAAAGGATGAGGACTAGCTTGTTGAATCTTAGCTCCTTTCTTCTTCTTTCTTCATTCCAAGGCTTCAAGAACACCAACAAAAGCTCAAAATAAGAGAGGAGGGGGTTTAGGGTTTCTCAAATCTGATAGAGGTTGAGGGTGAGCAAACCCTAGCCTCCTCGTTCCTTTAAATCGGGAGCAAAACCTGGACTTGACACGTCGTGGCACCTCATCACCACGTCGTGGAGAACCTTAGTATGCCGAACTTGAGAACAATATAAAGTACCTTGTAATCCGAATGTTACACTTCCTCATGGTTTTTTCAATTTCTAGGTGGTACATGTACTTAAAGATCTTGGCATAAACTATTAGCAATATTGTATCCCCGATAACGATGCTAGAGTATTAGGTGTATCATTTACACCTACAAATAAATAATTTTCACTGCTTAGTTGCTCTAAAGGATAACACACGGAAGAAAAGTCTAATCCACATAGGTACAACCTAATGCCTCTTTGCATGAGAAACATACTAGTCATAACAGAAATAATAAGACGAGGTTTTTGTTTTGAATAAAGCTGATAAAAATAAAATTGCAGTGAATAAAAATGCATAAAATTAGCTTTAGAAAATTCAATAATAAAATATGTTTAAGTTTTTCTATGACTCTCCTAATTATGTAGTTAATCCCTATATGGTTATTTAATAAACATTCCATTTAAGCTCGTACTAAAAAATCTATTAGCATGCTCCAACAAGTTTTCTTTTACCAAGTTATTTAACTAAAACAATTTCTTTTAAGTTAAGATAACTTTTTATTACCCTAATCAAATAAGCTCAATTAAATAAAAAAATAACCATTAAGATCCATGTAAAATTTCTAGAAATATCCAATACTTCTCATAAGTTTGGAAGAGTAAAAATATTTGTTTTTAGTTTATACTAGAATTAAGTCTCGTTGTGGAACCAATGTGATATTTGTTACTTATTACCACTTTATTAAAACAATTATAGACTTTAATAACTGATAAACTAGAACGAATTGATACTAATTCAGATGATCAATCTAAATTGAACTACAATCAAACATTAACTAAGTACAAAACTGAAACCACTAGATAGAAGCACAAATTAAAAACCAAATATAATGATTAATTGCATAAAAAGTATCTTTGTGGCAAAGTCAAAAAACCAAAACTATTGTGGCAAAAGTTCAAAAGGCAAAAGTTTACTATTCATATGTAGTTTGCTTTTTACTATTGTGTTAATCACCTTTAATATGAAAAAAAAATCCCGGTACTTAGAACTTGTATAGGGACATAAACACAACAAACCCTTCAAATATAACCGATGATGGAATCAAAGTCACCCCAAATAAGTTTGATCCAAATCGAAACTAGACATTCAAATGGGCGATATACATTAAACCACTTTATCTTTGGGATAAGAGTTTCGGCGAGCTAACAAAGTTTCACCAACGATATCTACTTTGCCATCGATTCAAAATTGTTCTTAGATTTTGGTGATGGATTCATGTTCTTATTGATCAATGATAATTCAACGATAAAAAATGGTTCACGTTCTTAGCAGTGATATCTTGCACTTGTAATAATTCTTATTTAAAGATTATGAAAAACCATGCCCCGCAACCGATAAGGAGCTTATATCTAGTGAAGAAAGAAAATCACAATATTTATGGTGAAACTAATCATTGATTATCTGTTGTGATTCCATTTGTGGTCGTGCTTCCCTTTTGTGTGTGCAGGAGGAAGAAGAAAAACAATGATTTCATGTTGAGATGATATAAATGGGACCGAGCATAGAAGATTCTTTTAGAATGCATGCCTATAAATTAATAATTACGTTATGGACACAATTATCATTTTCTTTTAAAATCTATAGATGTATCAAAAGGATATGTGAAATTATCAACTTCCTTACAAAAAAGGTGATTATTTTATTAAAACAAGAAATTTCCCACTTCCCTTTTCATAGGGACGCTCTAACATTCGGTCTTTGGAGGTATATTTTATTTTTAATTTAAAGATCGATTTTGGGGTCGCCACGACGTGGGGAAGATCGCCACGGCGTGGCAAGGTACTTTTGGTCGCGGGTCACTTTTGACTCGCCACGACATGGCAAGGAAGGCAAAGCGTGGCCGCCTCTGACATCCTAAACCCTAATTTTTCGGGTTTTGCACCCTATTTAAAGGAATGATGATGCTATGGTTTGCTCACCCTCAACCTTCACCACCCTCTTTAATCCAGAAGAAGCCCTAATTCCTTTCCTCTATTGTTGAAGATTTATTGAGTGAATTTAAGAGACTTTGAAGGAAGAAACAAGAAGGAGTAAGCCAAGGATCATGAATAAAGCCCTATCTACCTTCCTAACTCGATTTTGGACCCTTGTAAGTGTTCAAGGCTCCACCTTTTTGATGATAGGATGTTAGATCTTTAAATATGTCCCATTTTCTTCTTAATATTGTTAGTTGGGGTGGTAAAAGTTCATAATGGTTGCAACTTTATGTATCTGGATCATTTGGAGTAATTCATGGTTTAGATATGAAGTTTGGATGGTTGTTTGATCCATGCATAAGATTTTGGTCATAAACCCCCCATTTTGACCTAAGTTGAGTCCAAGACATGCATTGGACATTGTTAGGTGCATTTTATGCACCTATTTTTCACCTTTATTCCACACCATTGCATTGCATTTAGGCTTAACTCCATGCATTTTACATGCTTTCAGGATATTCCATGGTTTTATTTCACTCGCATAGTTTTATGATATTTCAGGGACTCATGGAGGTGGGATCTCACTTAGGAGGTAATTAGAAGGTGCGGATAAGATTCCACGACCTTCGAATCATGGAGGTAGAAGTTGCAGAAAATTGAAGAATCCCCGCACTTAGAGATTTCCACAACCGTGGAAATTTTAGCCTTTCATTTCCACGGATCATGGAAACGAGCCTGTTCCGGCAGCATACTTTGAAGCCTCGTCCAA